GTGGCCACCCCTGGGGTAAGTTCCTGCTCCCTGGGGAGCTGCTGGACTCCAGGGCCAGCAGGGGCATCTCCCCGGGGCGGGGCCGGGGCCTCACCAGGACAGGTCTGATTGGCCAGTGCATGGTGGACAGCAGGGACAGAGGGCAGGGCCAGGCAGGGGCTCAGGCTGGGTGGGGGCTTGGGACCTGGGGGTGGGCCCCTGGGGGACCCTCAGTGGCCTGGGCGCCCGCAGGGGCGGGCAGTGGACTTTGTGGATGTGAGCGAAGGCAACGCGCGCTGGGTGCAGGACTTCCGCCTCAAGGCCTACGCCAGCCCGGCCAAGCTGGAGTCCATCGACGGTGAGCAGGGCCGGGCCGGTCTGCGGCCAGCAGCACAGGGAGGGGCTGCTCTGGCGCCCTGCCCATGGCCTGACCTGCGGGTGTCTCCCCAGGCGCCCGGTACCACGCGCTCCTGATCCCCAGCTGCCCCGGGGCCCTGGCTGACCTGGCCAGCAGCGGGTCCCTGGCCCGCATCCTGCAGCACTTCCGCTCCGAGAGCAGTAGGTGGCGCGGGCTGGGGAGGGCCACTGCGGGGCCGCTGGGGGGGGGGGGCAGCAGCCCAGGGACCCTCGCCGAGAGCCAGAGGGGACCCCGGGGCCGTGCCGGGCCTGCTACCGACGCATGCACGGGCCCCCGGCGGGAGCCAGGCCTGCGGCTCCCGCGTGCCTGCGGCTCCCGCGTGCCGACCGCCAGCCCGGGACGGGCTCGGGCCTGAGGAAGGCCAGTGAGGGGCGGGGGTCGGTGTGGGCTCCCGTCTGGGCCGGCCGCAGGGCGGGGCCTCAGCCACGCCCCTGCCCACAGAGCCCATCTGTGCCATCGGCCACGGTGTGGCTGCGCTCTGCTGCGCCACCGACGAGGACGGGTCCTGGGTGTTCCGAGGCTACAGCCTGACGGGGGTGAGCTGGGGCGGGCGTGCCGGGGGCGACCGGCCCCTGCCGTGCCCTGGGGTGTCTGAGGCGGCAGCTGCTCCCCCGCAGTGGCCGAGGGAGGGTCACGCAGGGAGGGGCTGGGCAGGGGCTGGTGGGCAGGGACTTGGGACTGAGCCTGGAGCCAGCAGGGAGGGCCCCGAGCCAGGCGGGTAGGCGCGGGGTCCTAGGTGGGCGCCCACCCCCCGGGGCCACCCAGGCAGCGGCTGGGGCGGGGAGCGGCCGGGGGAGGCCCAGGCCTGCAGCCTCGCAGCCCTGGGGTGCCGGCCCTCCGCAGCCCTCCGTGTACGAGCTGGTCCGGGCGCCCGGCTTCGCGCACCTGCCCCTGGTGGTGGAGGACTTCGTGAAGGACGCGGGCGCTGGCTTCAGTGGTGAGCGCTGGCTGCCTGGGGGCAGGGTGGCCTGGGGGCTGCACCGCGGGGGGGGGCGCCAGCCTGAGCTGCGCCCGCCTCCTGCAGCCAGCGAGCCAGGCGCACTGCACGTGGTGCTGGACCGCCACCTGGTCACCGGCCAGAATGCCGGCTCCACCGTCCAGGCCGTGCAGAACCTGCTCTTCCTCTGTGGCAGCCGGTGAGGGCCACGCGTCCTGCAGGAAGCGACCTGGCCCCGGACACCCCAGCTGCCCCCTGACTACCAACCCTTGCCCGTCCCGGGGGCTCAGCTCCGTGCGGGGTCCATGGCTGGGGCCCCCGGAGCTGGCTCTGCACCCGCTGGGTGCTGGAGGGGCCCACAGGCCTGCGAGCCTCTGCGGGGGCTCAGAACACACCCCCTGGGTGAGGCTGGGATCCTCAGTGGCTCCCTTCTGACTCGAGGGCGGCAGCTGTGCCCTCCCCAGGCCTTGCTGTGGGTATTGGCCGCCGTCCACCCCGCTCCCCAGAGGGCCTGGCCTGGGCCAGGTTCCCTCGTGCTCGCCCTTCTCACCCACTTGGGGGCTGGACCCCAGCCTCTGGGCCCCCTGGTAAGACCCGGGCACAACCATGTGGCCAGGGGACTCTGGCCCTGATGCCCTACAGCCTCTACTGAGCCTCTGCATCCAGGGGTGGTGCTGGTGTGGCCCTGACCTGGCGACCTGCCCGCTAGCCTCAGGCCTCGGTCTGCTAGGCGCTGGGGCGGCCATCTGCCTGGAGCCGTGGATGGACCCACCAGAGAAATAAACGCCTGCCCCTGTAGCCTGTGTCCGCCTGGTGACGGTGTGGCGGGTGCTGGGCCACAGGCAAGGGGCCCCCACACACGAAGTGTCTAGAGGGGCACAGCTCAGGCTCAGGCAGGGCCAGACACGTGTCTCCTTTCAGGGTGAAAGGATTGGGGGGGGGGCTCCTCACCTGGCCAGGCAGCTGGGCAGGAGGGCCAGGCTGAGGTGAGGGCCCTGCATCTGGGCACCCAGTACCCCCACACACCCGCAGAGGGCCACCGACAGCAGACCTGCAGTTGGGGGGGTGGCCACCACCCCCAGGGCGAAGGCAGGCATGGGGGCCCAGGTGCTGGCCCACCAGGAGGCCAGGAGGGGCTGGCCAGCCTGTAGCAGGGAGGCTGGGGTCACCAGGCCCCCCCACCTGCCACCCTCCCGGCAGCTCGCGGGTTCCGGCCGCGGGCTCAGAAGACGCACCCCGCGCCGGGCTGGTGGGTCTCCAGCGCTCCCCCAGCCCAGCCAGGCCGGCGCCGCCGGGTGCCTGGAGCCCGCGGGGACGGCTGAGGCCAGGCGCCGCACAGGAAGTGAATGTTTTAATGCATTAGCGAAATTTTACATAAAATCAGAAATCTATGATCCGTGTCTGCTCTGATCGGTACAAAATGCGACGCCTCACCCCGTGTGCAGTCAGACCCCGATTCGATTCCCCGGCGCGGTGTCCCTCAGGGCTACTTCCCGTTCTCGGCGCTGAACATCCGCTCCTGGGAAGGGGCCGGTGAGAAGAGGGGCGCGCCTCAGCCCCCCACCCGCCCTGCGTCTGCGGGCCTGGGGCGCCCCCCGCCCGCGCTCACCGTCAGCATCCGCTCCAGCTTCACCGCGTCGGCCGCGAACTTGCGGATCCCGTCGGAGAGTTTCTCCACGGCCATCTGGTCCTCGTTGTGCAGCCAGCGGAAGGCCTTCTCGTCCAGGTGGATCTTCTCCAGGTCGCTGGCCTGGGCTGGGGGGCAGAGGTGGTCAGCGCCGCCGCCCCGCCCCTTCCGGCCCGCCGGGCCCCGCCCCTTCCGGCCCGCCGCCGCCCCCACCCACCGGCCTTGGCGGAGAGCACGGGCGCCAGCTTGGACGAGTCCTTCATCAGTTCGCCCAGCAGCTTGGGCGAGATGGTGAGGTAGTCGCAGCCCGCCAGCGCCTTGATCTCGCCCGTGTTCCGGAAGGAGGCGCCCATGACGATGGTCTTGTAGCCGAACTTCTTGTAGTAGTTGTAGATCTTGGTGACGCTGCGGACGCCTGCGGACGCGGACACGCACGTCCAGGGCCGCCCCGCGGACGCCCCCCGGCTGCCCGCGGCGCCTGCCCCCCCGCCCTCGGGCACGCACCAGGGTCCTCCTGGGGCTCGTAGGATTTCTTGTCCGAGTTGGCCACGTGCCAGTCCAGGATGCGCCCCACGAAGGGGGAGATGAGGGTCACCCCCGCCTCGGCGCAGGCCACGGCCTGGGCGAAGGAGAAGAGCAGCGTCATGTTGCAGCGGATGCCGTGCTGCTCCTCCAGCTCCCTGCGGGCGGGCGGCGGGCGGGCGGTGAGGGGCCAGCCGGGCCTCTCGCCCCGAGGCCTGGGCCCTGAAGCCCAGGACCGAGGCCCTGCCGTGCTCACCCTCGCCCCTTCCCCGGGCAGCGTCTCTGTTCTCGGGCCTGCTCGCCCCTGGCCAGGCTGCAGGGCCCTCCGCCACTGAGTGGACGCGAGACCGGCCCCGGAGGCGAGCGCGTGGTGGGGCGCCCTGGCGCCGGCCCTGAGCCAGGGGCCCATCCGGACGCCAGCGCAGGGGTGGGTGGCGGGGGAGGGGATGGCACCAGGCAGGGCTGCTGGGCTGGCCGGCGCTGCCCCGGGCGCGCTGCCCGGCCTGCCCCACTGCCTCTGGCTTGGGAACTGGCTCCAGCCAGGGTAGAGGTGTCCACAGACCAGGCCAGGGCACTGGCCTGAGCCCGCGGCCAGACACTCACTTTCCAGCCTGAATCCCCTCCCAGGTGGACGACAGCTTTATGAGGATCTGGTCCTTGCTGACCCCGACCTCCCGGTAGAGCTCGATGAGGCGCCGGGCGCGGGCCACCATGGCCGCCTGGTCGAAGGAGAGCCTGCGGCGGGCAGGGCGGCGTGAGGGGCTGTGTCGGCGGGGACCCCACAGCAGCAGCCCCCCGCCCCTGCGCACCTCGCGTCTACTTCCGTGGACACCCGGCCTGGAATCTTCTTCAGTATTTCCGCTCCAAACACCACAAAAAGCTTGTCAATAGCATTTTTAATCTGGTCTTCCCGAGACCTGAAATTCAGGGGAAACAGCGGCTGGGAGTGAGCCAGGCCCAGCCAGGCCCAGCCGGGGCACGGCTGGGCTCAAGCAGCCCCTGCAGCCGCCGCTGCTCAGCCCTCCTTGATGTCCAGGCCGGGCCCAGCGGGGCTTCAGGGCACCACAGCTTTCCTGTCTCCCTGAGGGCGCCCTCACCCACACCGCTGGTGCCCGGGGGCAGAGGCACCAACCTCTGAAAGGAGGTGCGGGCGCAAGGCAGGGCGTGCCCCCGCAGGCCGGACCGGAGCTCGGAGGGCCTGCTGGCCAGCTCGGCCGACCCTGCAGGCCGCGCTCGGCTGTGGAACACCCTAGTGAAAACAGAGCCCGGGGCTTCCGGGGCGCAGCCGTCGCCGAGCCCGACCCCGGCCAGGAGTGGCCCGAGGCGCGGCAGCCCTCTCCTGTCCCTGCTGCCCCCTCGGCTGCAGGCTGCGCTGTTCCTCACCCTGTCTCTGGGGAGTCCTCTCACCCTCCATCTTTGGCCTCATCCCAGCTCTTGGATGCATTAAAGAAAACAAAAACGGAGTCCAGAGAAAGTCGAGCTGGCGGCTGAGCGCGCGGGGCCCCGGGGCGAGTGCGCCTGGGCTGGGGGGCGAGGCCAGTCACCCACACCCCTCAGACCCGGGGCGGCGCCTGGGGCCAGGGCTTGGCTGGGCACTCACCCGCCCAGCTTCCTGCCGTAGGCCATGGCTTCCTCCACCAGCTCTTGGTAGGCGGGCATCTGGGCCGCGGCCAGGATCAGGGACGGGTTGGTGGTGGCGTCCTGGGGCTTGAACTCGTCGATGGCTGGGGACAGCGGGAGGTACGTAGGGCGGCTTCCACCGCGGGCTCTGCGCCGGCCCCGGGGACGCACCTCCTTGTCCCGGAGGCCGGCCAGGGCAGTGCCTGCTGACAGGCCGTCCCACGGAACAGGGACAGGGCCCTCTTCCACAGCCACTGGCCTTCTCTGAAAGAGAAGTCTTGGTTTGGGAGCCAGGGGCCCCAAGAAACAATGCTCGGCTTGGGGGCTTCCCCCTCGCACACTGACCGCTTCCAGGCGATGCCTGGGTCGGCGGGTTGCCTGGAAAACTCGTTTTTCAAAGCGTCCTTTGATGGCGCAAAGACCAAGGCAGCCAGGGACAGGCCAGCAGGACCTGTGGGCTAGAGCCTGGCTGTGCACCCTGAGCGGCCCCTCAGCAGGCCCCGGGAGGAAGGCCAAGGTGCTCCGGCGGGGCGGCCACCCAACAGGCGAGGGGGCCGAGCTATTTCCGGGAGGGGCGCAGCTCTGCTGGGCCGGGATCCCCTGAGGTTCAGGAGGGGGTAGCCGGGCCCCTTCCCCTACAGCGAGGGGTGGGGCGTGCGCAGGAAGGCGCCGCCGAGCTCCGGGGAGCTGGAGAGGGTCAAAGTACAGGCGCCGGCTCTGTGCTGTGCTGCTGTGCGAGGCCAAATGTGCTTATTCACCCGCAGGCGGCCGGATAAACAATCCACTCGCCTTACCCAGAGGAGCCAGTTTCCCAAGTCAGCATGAGAAAGCAGAAGAGGGAAGTGCGTGAGCAGCCTGTGCCCCGGGCGTGCCCTGGCCCCGTGGGTCAGCCGGCGCTGCCCTCAGAGCTCTGAGCCCCTGGTGCCCACCTGCCCAGAGGCCCCTGCCCAGGCTTGCGGCTACCCACGACCACCCCCTGCCGCCGTCAGCAGCGGCCGCGGCAGGGCAGGCAGGAGCAGTGCTGCAACAGGAGGCTTGCAAAAGCGGTTCTGTCATCACGCTTCTGGTCCTGGGGGGAGGGGGCAATGCACCTCCAAACCACAAACGGTGGACACTGGCTCTGGCAGGTGCCTGGCTCTTCCCTGCCAAAGGCCTGGCAGCCACCCCTGACCCACTGACCCAGCCACCCCTGACCCACTGACCCAGCCGCGGCCGGCCTTGGGGGGCTGCCAGCAGCGCAGGGTGCACCGGGGCGGGGGCCTCCCAGGGCGCGGCTGCCGGGCGAGCGCTCAGAGGGTTCGCGCCAGGAGCTCCGAGAACCGGACCGCGAGGCCCAAAGCCGCCTGCTCCCGTCTTCCCCGCCAGCCCCCGCGCGCAGGGGCCCGAGCGCCCCGCCCTCCCCTCCGCG